GTATTCAAATGAAAGGTCTCGATGAGTGTAACATCAGGATGAGCTTATATCTTTAAAAATCTCAATATTTCACAAGATATAAGGTAATTTCTTAATTATGTATCTAGAATGATATGAAACCTTGAAAAGGCACAAATTCAAGAACTTTGCAATGACACTAAATTTCACTAAAAAAACTGACTATCCTGGACACAAAATTTTTCTTATTCTCATAATAATATAGATTTTATTGATCAGAAATTACTCAGACGAAAAAAGTAATAAGAGCTTAGCCCTCTTTTATTATATTAAGCGATCTGCTCGCCTCGGGCGGTAAAAACTCACTGGCCACTGGCCAGGATTACAAAGAAAAATTCTTAAGGACTTCTCAGGGATGGGGGTAAGAAATAAAATTAAAAATAAATTATTTTAACTAGTTTAAGTATTGATTTTTTATAAAAATTCATTTTTTTTTTAGTATATTTCCGAAATTTGAAAAAATTATAAAATTATTATTTTCTAAAAAAAAGAATCCTCGTAAATTTTTTAATATTTTTAATATTTAACCCAAAGTTAAAATTTCGAGCAAAATAAAAATACAAAATTCTTTAATTTAAAAAAAAAAATGTTCCTTTAAAAAAAAGGTCTTTTATAATTTTTAAGGTTTAAAATAATTTAATGGTTACAAAATAAAAATTTTATTTAATATAACAAAAAAACTAAAATCGTTATTCATAACAAAGTAAGTACATTGTAACTCTTTGAAATAAATAGTATATCTCTATTTTAAATTTACTATTTAAACGATCTTACCCCTTCATAATAAATTCTGTGTAATCTTAGGTTTTTTTTTCCAGAGTAAAAAAATAATTTAAAAAAAATATTTTTCTGAGAAAAATAAAATAAAAACAGATGTCCGTATTTATTATAAATAATAAAACAATTTTTTTTTTTTTTTCTTATAAAAGTCCTGGGTAATTATTTTTCCAGGGCATTTATATACATTAAACACGTGTAATAAAATGAAATGATATATAGAGAAGAGTTGTCCGTTCATCGTGCATCATATATTTGTGCCGAGGGTTGTAATTAAATAGAATGTACAATTATTACAATAAGAATAATTGTGTGTGTCTGTGTGTGTTTGTACAGACGGCCGTGTATTAATTTGATTTTAATTGTAAACTAAAAATGAAAATGAAAACATAAGGTTTTATTATTATATTATTATTGTGGTGAATGAGACGAACCACCGGAAGTTGTTTAACTCTCTTTAACATTGTATTAATACTTACTAGTTGACTACAGTAACATCTGGAGAGAAGAAATATTAAATATATATTAAACCCTTTTATTTTTTTATTTTATTTATGTTTATATTTGTCGGAAGTATAAATTAGCAGTCAATTAATATTGTGTACTTTTAGAGACGTAAAAAAATGTACTGGTGAAATAATGGAAAAAAAAAATTTTTTGTTTACAATTTGGGTGTTAAATTTACATTTTTATAAATTTTTGGCTTGCATGTAAATTTTACTTGTGGAAAAACTGATAAATTTACATGTAAAAAATAGAAAATTTACAGCTTTAGACATGTAAATTTTACACTGATGAAAATGTAAACTTAGGATAAAGATAAAAGTTAAAAAATTTAAATTTACATGTAAATTTTTGATGTTGAAAATTTACATGAAAAAAATGAAAAATTTTTATTTTTATAAATTTTAGGTTTACATGTAAATTTTGGATGTGGAAAAAATAATAAATTTACATGTAAAAAAATAGAAAATTTACATGTAAATTAAAATTATTTAATTTACATGGAAAAATGTAAAAGTTTACATTTTTAGAAAATTAAGTTTACATGTAAATTTTGTAAGTGGAAAACTCAATAAATTTACATAAAAAAATGTAAAATTTACAGTTTGAGACATGTTAAAAATGTAAACTCCATCTGTGGAAAAATATTTAAATTTACATTTTTAGGAAGATTTACATGTAAATTTTGCATACGGAAAAACTGAAAAATTTACATTTTTAAATAACTTTATGTTTACAAAGAAAAACTGTTGAATGTACATTCTTAGACATGTAAGTCAACATGTTAATTTAACATGTGAAAAAATTATTAAATTTACATTGAAAAAAATTAAATTAAGAAAAAAATGTAAATTTATCATTAGAAAATTTTTTTTTAAATTTAAATTATTCTTTAATTAATAATACATTAGCTTTGACCAATAATAATCCGAAAAGGAATAATTCAAAAATTAAGTAATAAATTATTGAAATGTGGGCGTACAATCAGTGGCATGTGTGACATGTGAAAAAGTATCCCATGCGCATTGAGCCAGCCCCAGCCCTCGGTTTGGATTTTTTACTTAAACAAAACTAAACTACCCTCCTACTACTATACATACTATATCCTCAGCACTCTCTCCCAGTCTCCCTCAAATGTCCCCGTACACAGCATATAACGCAAACGCGAACACGGGATGCGCGGACCACCGACCAACCACGTGCAGTATGAGTAAATCTCGTTAAACTTTTTTATTTTTATTTTCCTGTATTGTTTCGCTAGTTTTTTTATCGCACGGAGATTTTGATGACTGGACCAACAAGATTTTTATCAAGTCTCTTTAGATTTTTTAGATTTTAAATTATTTTCTTGAGTGAAAAAAAAAATTTTTTTTAAAGAAATTTTACTTATTCCAGTTTTTGGTACCTCCTTGACGATAATTGGGACATCTTTTTAAAATCAATTTTTTTTTGTTAAAATAATTTTTTTATAATAATTTTTGTGAAAAAAAATTTTTTTATAAATTATTCTAAAGAATAATTTCAAACTACATAGAAAAAAAAGTTTTGTGCCAAGAAAATATTTTTCTCACCTGAAGTAGGTGACGCTGCTTCCCTTAAGTATCTACCTTAAGTATCTTAAGTATTTATGATAGAATTAAGAAAAAAATGACGCACCAACAATAGAATTTGTGGAAAAATTTGAACTTCGGCTAACAACTTGGGTCTTCCTTCAGGCACCCGACAAATTTTCTTCAGCCAACAATTATAAATTTTTCTTTCTGTGTACGTTTTGCTATTTTTAAAAATAATTCATTGAAAAAAGTAACACCCACGCTTTCACGTTAATTCGATAGAAAAATAAAGAATTTATTTTAAAAAGTTTTAGAATAAAAAACAAACTAAGTAGAAAATAATTTTTAATAGACTTTAAATAAAAGATTAATAAAAAAATTTTTATTGTAAAACATTTGCGAGCTTGATAACAATTTTTGGAAATATTTTATTGACTTATTTTGGTCAGAGGCTATTAAAATATCTTTAAAGTCACCCCACGGATTTTTTTACAATAAAATAAAATTTTCCTGTTATTTTAAACCTATTAATTATTTTATACTTTTTTTTAGTTATAATTTTAACTAAATATTAAAAATAAAAATTGTGATATCTCTGCCCGTGATTCAATTCTTGTCTCTGTCTCCGGGAAAATTCGCCCCTCTGCAACATCACAACAATTCGCCCCCTCCTCCAGAAACTCGCCAGTGAATGCATATCCGAGGGAGTATAACTTCCATGACCCGGGCGGCATCATCGAAATTCCATGCACCCGATCCGAAAATCATTAAATTGCACGCACTCACATACAACACACAACCCCAACACATTTCATCCCCACAGCCCACAGTCATGCGCTCCCTTTGCCTCCACACTCTGCGGAGCGGTCACATTTCCTCCCTTGGCTCTCCTCCCACCTCCTCACCTCCCCAAACCAACACTCTGCCCACTCAAAATCCACTATCGCAGTTTCCACCCCTCCGCTCCAGGCATGTGCATTCCTCTCCACTCTCTGCCTCTTCGAGTCCGCAATAGATGTGCGTTGCGAAACTACACTCCAAAATATCCCGATTTTTGCCATGCATTTTGATGATTAATAAAAGCGCTTTTTTACCCTTCATATTTACAGCGAGCTATTTGCTGTTAGTAAATTGATGACTCCAAAGGGTCATGAAATTTTATTCAAAATTTAATTATTAAAATTATTTTAATAAAATTTTAATTTAAAATATTTTTTTTGTCGGAAAATTTACATACTAGAATTTTAAATAATAAATTAATTTTTTTTTGCAATGTTAATTTAATAAAAAAAATAAAAATTTATAAGCTATTTTATGCAGAATTTTATAAAGTTTCACGTAAAAATTTTTGTTTTTGTAAAAAAAATTTTTTACAGCCTAAAAATTGATTTTAATTCAAAAGAATCAAAAATTTGACTTTTGTGGGATTATTTTTAGTAATTTTTTTTTTTTTTGCAATATTAATTTACTAAAAACAAAAAAATTCTAAGTCATTTTAAGCAAAATTTTACAAAGTTTGATAGACAATTTTTTGTTTTTGTAAAAAAAATTTTTTTAGAGCTTAAAAATTCATTAGAATTAAAAAAAAATCAAATATTAGATACTTGAAAATTAATTTTAGTAATTTCTTTTTTTTTTTAATGTTTTTTTAATAAATAAAAAATTTTTAAAATCATATTTTACACAGAATTCTCAAAAATAATTTTTTTGAGTTTAAAATTCTAATAAAAGTCAATAAAAATTGATAATTTAAAAAATGAGGCTTAAAGAATTATTTGAAAAATTTTTATTAAAATAAAAAAAAATTTTTAGGTGATATTTTACTCAAAATTTAATAAAGTTTCTTTTAAAATTTTAAATTTTCTTAAAAAAAATTTTTTTTAGTCAAAAAATCTTTATTAAATAATTTTTAATTCAACCCCAAAAAAATTTATAATAAACTTCTAAAAATAATAAATAATTAAAAACCAAAAGTTGGATATTTACTTTAACATAACCATGAGATATATTACATAAAATATAAATGCAAAATTTTCATTAATACGTCGGGATGAAACTAGAGGCCAGTTACCTTTTAAAATTAAATAATAATCTATAAAATCCGATATGATAAAATTTATCCATCTTTTAATAATGAAGCCTTATTAAATATAAATGAATTTAACGGGTGAATAAAAGGAATTATTTATCGGATTTTTTTTTATTTTATTTAAGTCGAAAAAAATTTGGGAGCAAAAAAAAAGTTGTACAAAATATAATAATCCAGTTCTCTGACAGTAAGCTTTAATAAAAGAGAACCAGGGGTTGGATTATTCCGAGCGGAGTTGTACGAAAGTTCGCGTAAACCAGTTTTCGAGTTACATTCAAACCTCGTTACACAATATATAACATGTAACATATATAATATTTAATATAGAAGATAAAAACGGCTTTGTTATATAAAAAAAAAATCTAAAAAAAAAATTAATGAAATTTAAAATTTGTTAAATGAAAAGTTTTGAGTTTGGACAGATTTGATCTGATTATTTATTGTTTATCGTGTGTTATAAATAAAAATAATTGAAGTGGTATCGGGTCGTGAATAATAAATAAAATATTGCAAACACAAGTACACTTTGGATTAAAGTTACAACAGATGAATTTATAACCGCAGGTTCGATGAACGCCTTTCTATTTTCGGTAATTTAATATATTTCGTAAGTGGTTCCTCGCTTAATCGATACAAACCATCGTTCGTATTAAAAATATATCTATAAGTTTGAATTTTAATTTAATATTGTGTCAGAGAAGTATGCAGATGTAATATAAATATAAGAAAATTTTATTATTATTATTGAAACAAAATTTTTCAAAAAAAATAAAACTTTGAATTATTACATAATGACTTTTGTTAATATAAATTGTACTGTATTTTCTTAACAATTGACATTTTTAAAGATATAAGCTCATCTTGATGTTACACTCATCAAGAGCTTTCATTTGAGTACCCACATGCACTTTTGATATATTTTTTATATATACATATATGTAATATATATATATATAAATATATGAAATATATAAAAAATTGATGTGGGTACTCAAATGAAAGCTCTTGAAGAGTGTTACGTCAGGATGAGCTTATATCTTTAAAAATGTCAATAGTTTACAAGATACAAAGTCATTTCTTAATTATGTATCTTATATATTGTTAAATTGCACTATAATTTCTTAAATATTGACATTTTTAAAGACATAAGCTCATCCCAATGTTACACTCATCAAGAGCTTTTATTTGAGTACCCACATGCATTTTTTTTTTATTTTTCATATATACATATATGTAATATATATAAATATATGAAAAATTGATGTGGGTATTCAAATGAAAAGTCTTGAAGAGTGTAACATCAGGATGAGTTTATATCTTTAAAAATGTCAATAGTTCACGAGATACAAGGCCGTTTATTAATTATGTATCTAGAGATAGAGCATTTTCTAATTATATAAATATTTATTTTGAAAAATAATTTTATGATCTACATAATACACTGTAATTTATAAATATTTATTATTGTTGTTGTTGTTATTGATAAAGTAAAGTACAAACCAGAACCCTGGCACTGACCATTAACCACCCAATTCGTAATAGATATTTTTCTCTGTCCCCCACCTCGTGACAACCGACAATTTGATATTGTTGAAATTGAGGAAAACGCGGTTTTAATTGTACGGTGGTGAAATTTACAACCCTCTATTTCACACTTGATGTTCACACAAACTGACACTAACCTAAGCTAATCCCCGGTGAGGTCATTAACCTCCCCTCATTCAGACCGCGGTTTGTCAAATTTTGACAGTCACTTTATTATTTATTTCGGGAAATCTGCGACATATAATATATAGCCCACAATATACTATTTCCACCCTCTATATTACATAAAAAAAAAAAAAACAAAATTTTCCTTTTAAATACCCAAAAAACTAGACTAGGAAATTTGGATTAGCAAGACTCGCCGTTAAGAATTGTATAGAGCCTAACGTACCGGGTTCGAATCTTCCTTTGGTCAATTTTAATATTTAAAATTTTTATTTTGACATTTCATTAATTACTTCAAAGTAAATATTTATTTTTTCAATTTTTAAAGCAAGAAAATAAAAAAATAAATTTTTTTTCAACTTAAAAAAAATAAAAAAAATTAATTTTAAAAAATAAAAACAAAAATGTGATCTATAAATAAATAGAATTTT